GTTTAATTTTTTTTCTATTTTATAAATTATTGTATTTTTTACAAATTTTATTTTATTTTTAATAAATAGAATACATTCGCTTCGAATGTAGATATGTTAACAAAAGCATTATATTACCAACAACGTCAGGAATGTACTGGTTTGGAATTAAACCCGGTAAATTTTGAACGAATGATTGAAACTATTAATCCGGGTCTTAAAGGTTTTTTTAATTACATGATGAATGCAATTATTCCGAAAGAATGCTCAGCTTATAATATAAGCGAGGCTAAAAAATCGGTGGTTGGGTTATATTATTTAATTGCGGGTTTGCGCAATAAATTTGTTAACCAGCATAAATTAGAAGTAGGGTTATATTTAAGAGCATCAGGTGCGACGTGGGAGGCCATTGACACAATGTCAAGCCTTGGATATTCATCATGTGCTAAGACAGTAGATATGTATCAAAAAAAAGTTCAAAAAGAATATTCAGCAAAAATTGAACATTATTTTTTAGAGCATGTAACGTTAAATTATATTTTTGTATAATGTTATATTTTCGTATAATATTAATACAGTATATTAATAAAGTACAATTGTATTTTTATTAGAATAATTTTCATGTTTATAATATTGACGACTATCATTCTATACACGAGAACTGTAGGCCTGATACAGTATCAACCTCAACAGCAAACCATTTCGCTACTTGCATAGCAAAACCAATTGTAGGATGTTCTTCCATACCACTTGTGTTTAATGGAGGGTCAGTTCACAATCCAGCGAATGTAGAAGCATCACGGGTTTGTTGGCACCTAATTAATCAATATACAGAAATATTCGATATTTCATACTCGGATTATCAGCAATTGAAAGGTCGTTTGGTTAGTAATAATTTTGACCCTATTGAATTGTTAACGATACATAGTTATGCGGATAATATAGAGGAACATAAGGAGGAATGTTCAATTAAAGGGCTTCAACTCTTAGAATTTAAAGAGCAAAGTTTACATACTTTACAAGATTATGTTAATGTATTAAATCTTATACTATCAATAAATAACAAGACACAACATTTGAATGGGCAGTTTGCACCAATTGTCGCGGACTGGCCCGGCCAGATTTTTATCAGAAAAGCTTTGTATATGCGAACATTACCTGGGTCTTCTTTTTCACAACAAATTGAGTCTTTTTTGCCTATCTTAGGCCCGCTTCATATATCACTTAATAGTAGAGAACAAGTTCTTATGATATATCATTCCTCTTTTGAAAAATTATTCCATTATGTGTTTGGTGAGAATAAAGTCTTAGCAAAAAAACCTCGTCCTTGGAGGATAAACCTCTTATTAGAACTCATGCGTAATGGTTGGATAAAAATCAAAGACAAAATCATTGAAAAATTTGGCCAAATTTGCAAAGACGTCGATTATCAAACCATGATAGACCTGCTTAATAATTTAGTTCCTGCTATACTTGACATCTATGCAGTTCTGTTTCGATCGGGTCAATTTAACGAATACGTAGAGGCGATTTTTCGTATCTAGACATTCGCTTTGTGCTGGAAGCGAAAAAATTACAACAAAGCGCTTCTCGTATTTTTATCAGATGTGTTTTACTGGAATGATACTAACCACCCTTTTTTTTAACATATTACAGCATTATTTAACAAGTTTTAATAAGTATTACGTAGAAAATGTACACAGTAAAATCCAAGCCAACACCTCTCAAAATGCATCAGTAGATAGCATTATAAAGCAAGCCTACTTTATTATGAATCATGATCCTACATTTAAAAACACCTATTGCAAAACACAAAGATACCCATATACTATGAAGACATTAAATTTTCTCTATGATAAAATGGCACTTTTTCTTTTACAACATTTTTAAGACATTTTTTACAACCGTGGAAGAAGTATTCCAAGACTGCAAAAAAAAAAAAAAAAAAACTACCAGCGACATACTATCTTGCTACCTTAAACAAAGATGTAGACCTGCGGCACCTCCCAACAGCTTACAGCACAGCACATCCTCCCTGTCCAGAATTATGTGATTCTTGTAGACATTTGCTTGTTAATAATCATAGCGCGGTATTTGCTTGTGACCACGGTTATCATATTGATTGTTATCGTGGAAAATGTACCCATTGTGAAGAGTTTTATAAAAAAGGAATTTTTAAAAATGTTGAAAAGTTTTTAACCCAAATCAAAAAAGGAGAAAATAAACTTACCAAGGAAGATATTGATGATGATGAAAATGATGTGGAAAGTCAGGAGGAAAAGTCTGAGGATGTAGAAGCATTAGATCTCTCGCCTAAATTGATAGCAAAAATTAATCAAATAGAATATTGGTAAATATAAAAAAAAAACAAGTTAATGCATTTGAACTAACCATTAGCCTAATTACTTTGAATTCTTTTTTTTTTCTTTTTTTTTAAAAAAAGGTAAGTCAATTATAAAGAAGCACTTGTAGATTGAGCCGAATAATGCATGGGCATTAAGAATCGAGGAGAAACTTATCACCTAATATGTAGATATGAAGAAACATTTACGGATTTAACCAAATCATTAAAGCTTAAACCAAATAAAGAATCTGGTTTAAAATTTCATAAAGTAAATTTAATAAAGAATTGACATAATCACCTGTGATTTTATGGGCCACAAAGCAGCTGCACCAGCAAGCTTTGGTTCGACTTACCAATCCATGGAACTTGGTCAAGATCAGTATGATAGATACGGTGGTGGTTATAATGATTTCAGGGCTGCGGGCGCAAATACAGCGGTGGATTTGGTGGAGGTTACATTCCTTATACGGTTGTGCAGCAGTTGCTACAAAAAACCTATGTCTAATAAAAGTCACACAGATTGTGAGATGCATGAGATATGTTTTGACAAAACGCTTATATTGCGGCCTTAGAACAGCCTGGCAAAGTTTTGTAGGAATTGGACGATTTTTGTGAAGTTGTCATATGATGTACTCCTATTATGTTTTTGATATTTTTTGATATAAAAAATCTTGTGTAACCATCATGCATAAATCGAATTTCTGCTATGCTGCCAAACTCAGGCTCAAATAAATACAAATCAGGTTCACTTGAACCCAATCCATATTCAAATGAACCCAAATCAGGTTTAATTCAACCAAACCTGGATACAAAAGTGAATCTAAAACAGATTCACTTGAACCTAATTTGGGTCCTGAGGTTTTGAAAGGCAAATGTTTTACTCAAGTTACTAATATTAACAATTTTTGAGAATTATTATAATAAAAATATTAACTGGCCAAAACTTTTTGATGGTTGCAATTTTGATGCTGAATTAGCAGCAATAATCTGTCATAGATTACAACCTGGGTTTATTATATTAATGTATTAAATCTTATACTATCAATAAATAACAAGACACAATATTTGAATGGGTAGTTTGCACCAATTGTCACGGACTGGCCTGGCCAGATTTTTATCAGAAAAGCTTTAAATATGCGAACGTTACCTGGGTCTTCTTTTTCACAACAAATTGAGTCTTTTTTGCCTATCTTAGGCCCCTTCATGTATCACTTAATAGTAGAGAACAAGTTCTTATGATATATCATTCCTTTTTTGAAAAATTATTTCATTATGTGTTTGGTGAGAATAAAGTCTTAGCAAAAAAACCTTGTCCTTGGAGGATAAACCTCTTATTAGAACTTGTGCGTAATGGTTGGATAAAAATCAAAGACAAAATCATTGAAAAATTTGGCTGAATTTGCAAAGATGTTGAATATTGAACTATGATAGACCTGCTTGACAATTTAGTTTCTGCTACACTTGACATCAATACAATTCTGTTTCGATCGGATCAATTTAACGAATATGTAGAGGTGATTTTTCATATCTGGATATTCGCTTTGCACTGGAAGTGAAAAAATTAAAACAAAGCGCCTCTTGTATTCTTATCAAATGTGTTTTACTGGAATGATACTAACCACCCTTTTTTTAACATATTACAGCATCATTTAACAAGTTTTAATGAGTATTACGTAGAAAATATACACAGTAAAATCCAAGCCAACATCTCTCAAAATGCATCAGTAGATAGCATTATAAAGCAAGCCTACTTTATTATGAATTATGATCCTACATTTAAAAACATCTATTGCAAAACACAAAGATACCCATATACTATAAAGACATTAAATTTTCTCTATGATAAAACGGCACTTTTTCTTTTACAACATTTTCAAGACATTTTTTACAACCGTAGAAGAAGTATTCCAAGACTGCAAAAAAAAAAAAAAAAAAAAACCACCAGCGACATACTATCTTGCTACCTTAAACAAAGATGTAGACCTGCGGCACCTCCCAACAGCTTACAGCACAACACATCCTCCCTGTCCAGAATTATGTGATTCTTGTGGACATTTGCTTGTTAATAATCATAGCACGGTATTTGCTTGTGGCCATGGTTATCATATTGATTGTTATCGTGGAAAATGTATCCATTGTGAAGAGTTTTATAAAAAAGAAATTTTTAAAAATGTTGAAAAGTTTTTAATCCGAATCAAAAAAGAAGAAAATAAACTTACCAAGGAAGATATTGATGATGATGAAAACGATGTGGAAAGTCAGGAGGAAAAGTCTGAGGATGTAGAAGAATTAGATCTCTCGCCTAAATTGATAGCAAAAATTAATCAAATAGAATATTGGTAAATATAAAAAAAAAACAAGTAAATGCATTTGAACTAACCATTAGCCTAATTACTTTGAATTCATTTTTTTTTTCTTTTTTTTAAAAAAAAGGTAAGTCAATTATAAAGAAGCACTTGTAGATTGAGCCGAATAATGCATGGGCATTAAGAATCAAGGAGAAACTTATCACCTAATATGTAGATATGAAGAAACATTTACAGATTTAACCAAATCATTAAAGCTTAAACCAAATAAAGAATTTGGTTTAAAATTTCATAAAGTAAATTTAATAAAGAATTGACATAATCGCTTGTGATTTTATGGGCTACAAAGCAGCTGCACCAGCAAGCTTTGGTTCGACTTACCAATCCATGGAACCTGGTCCAGACCAGTATGATGAATATGGTGGTGGTTATAATGATTTCAGCGCTGCGAGCGCAAACATGGATTAAGCGGCGGTGGATTTGGTGGAGGTTACATTCCTTATACGGTTGTGCAGCAGTTGCTACAAAAAACCTACGTCTAATAAAAGTCACACAGATCATGAGATGCGTGAGATGCGTTTTGACAAAACGCTTATATTGCGGCCTTAGAACAGCCTGGCAAAGTTTTGTAGGAATTGGACGATTTTTTATTAAGTTGTCATATGATGTACTCCTATTATGTTTTTGATATTTTTTGATATAAAAATCTTGTGTAACCATCATACATAAATCGAATTTCTGTCATGCTGAATTAATCTAAGCTATTTAAATACAACCTAAATTATAGCAGTATATAGAAGAAAGAATATACAAAAACAGTATTTCTCTGTGATAAAACAATAAAAGAAAACTGAAAAAACTATAAAAAGCAAATAAATAGTTTGCTAAGAGAATACAAAATTTTCTAAATAATAGGTTTATATAAGAAAAAAAACTATTGAATTTGAATGAACTTTGAAATAATATAAATGAAAGTATTTTTGCTGCAATAAGATGCAATCTTTCAAAAAAGAGAGTCTGCAATACAGTATAGAACAAAAAGAAAAAAGCCAAAGAGTTTAAATTATTATATACCTTAATGCAATTAGAAAGATGAATTAGTATAAGATGAAAAAGTATTAAATTAGATCTCATATATAATTATATTGCAGATCTAATATTAGAGTTAAAGTTTTAAATCAGCAATACAAAACAAACATCAACACAGCTTTGATTTATTAGTTTTACAAACTAATTAATGACTTAAAAGGTTAGTAGAAAATCTTATTTGCAAAAAGAGTAAAAAAGACTAAATAGTAGCAAAAGAAAGAGATAGAAAAGAATATTAAAAGAAGATATCAAATAATAGATGAAAACAGAGCAAGGTATTCACAAGCTATTTAGAAAACCTTTCAGAAAGGTTCAAATCAACAGACTTCTGAAAAAAAAGATAACTAGAGAAAACTTATTACTAATTTAGAAAAAGTATTTAGAAAGACAAAAAAGTATTATTAAAAACAATTTAGATCTTACTATTTTAATCAAGAGCTCTAAGAAAAGAATTGAAAAGAAATATATAATTTGAAAAAAGAAATATAAGAGAAGTAGTATGAAAAACTTGACTAAGATATTGAAAAAGAAAAAAGAGTAAACATGTTTAAAGATTTAAAGAAAACACTGCACTGAGTTACAGAAATTACTTTTATACTAGGATTGATGATGTAAACAGAAATTAAACAATTGATTGAAAGTAAAGCAACAAGTGCTTAAATACAAAAGATATTTTGATTATTTGTTAAGTGTTGTATCTAGACTAGCAGGGTCTTATTAAAATAAAAAATTTCACAAATATACTTAATTCTAAAAGATACTACAATTTAAACAATGTTAGAACAATAGCATTCTTAGAGATATTTAGAAAATGTGTAACCAAAATAATAACCAAAAAACTAGCACAAGTTCTAAAAGAAAAAAATATTTTAAAAGATCTAAACTTTGCAGAGCTACCTGCAAATTTAACAGAAGAGCTGGTGCAAATTATAAATGCAATAATAAAAGATACAATAGACAATAAAAAAGATTTGTGACTAGTACTACAAGATATGAAAAAAGCTTTTAATTTAGTATTTTAGAGATCATTAGAGCTAGCAATGGAAAGGTTCAAGATTTTACAAATAACAACTAAGTTTATTCTTAATTTATTTGTAAACAGATAGTTAAAAATTATTACAATCTAGATACAATACAATACTTTGAAATAAATGATAGAATCAAGCAAGAAGAAGTGATTTTATCTCTTATATAAAGATTTTTTTTTAGTATTAAGGTGAGGTCATACTTTATATATCTTTATTAAATTATAAGTTTGTATATACAACCTTGTTGCTTACTTATATATCAACTGACTATCTAATCTCAGAATATTAGACTCAGACTACTTTATCCATAACCTAAATCTACTAAAATCTTATATGTCTAATCTAAATTTTTGTATACTACTTCTGTTAATTAATTTCTTACCTATAGATTCTTCATATTTTTTATACTAACAACACTATACTTTTAGTTTAGTATTCAATATAGTATCTGTTACAAATTCTATTAAGAGACATCTAGCAATTGTAGCTTTATGTTTACTTCTAAAGTTGGTATTATAGTTTTATAAAATGTACTCTAAGTTGTCTACTATCACTCTCTATTTTAGGTAATTTATTTTTTTAACCTAGTATTGTACAAAATGTCAGAAATACTTTCAATTCTGGTTGAACTAATCCTTTATCACAGGTCATCCTTGTGTTTACTACTTTTTTTCAATGCTTCAGTTTTGTTACTATTTATCACTTTTTCAAACAATTTTCTTAACTACTAGAGATGTTGGTATTACCCCAATCACTTCAATCGAAAACTTATATATACAATCTTCATATAACAGAACTATTTGTAAGAAACACATATATTGACATCACTTCACAATTAAACCTTTTTCTGAAAACTTTTTTCTAGTATTATACTTGCATTTGGACTTAGTTACAGAGCTTTATATTTAATAATGAAGCTTTTTTTTGGATTACAGAAGCAGAAAATCTTAAAATTTTTTGCCTCTAGTCTAATTTGAACTATTGATTTAGTCTATAAAGCTTGGTAGCTTAACTACTAAGCTATAGAGTCCAAACTCTATATAGAGAATCTTTTATGATCTATTGCTAGTAAAAGTTAATAAAGATCCTAATTTTGGTTATACAATAACTTAATGAATCTCTTTTAACTACAGTCTGAACTAAACAATACAAAGAAAATAGAAATAAGCAGT